AAAAGAGGATAAAGGTTAAAACGTTATACTGGGCTAAGGGGGGGGTAAAACTTTAACCATTCTTCATCTTCCATATGCCAGCTACTAACCAGCCACAAACTACAAAGTTACTCTATGTGTTACGTCCCTCCCATACAAACATATTATATACACAAGTTCGAAAACGTACATTTAATTTCATAAGCATTAATGTTTATTGACTCACCATAATCTAAAGGACATTTTTTTACATCAGAAATTTTAATTAATAGAACAAATTAATTCCCGATGAATTTTGGAAGAATTATAGGTTTCACATATATAAATTTATTTATATATTCGTAAAACATATACATGTTATCACAGAACAGAGACCATTTGCTAGAAGACAGCATAACATTGAAATGACCATTGAACCAGTGCCTAAGGTTATATCTGCAAGAAGGCAGGCTATCTAATGGATAAAAGTAAAACAAGTAAGTGCATTTTTGGAAGCTAAAATTTTTTACATTTCATTCTGACTTTAAGACACTGGGATTCTATTATAATGAGGTAATAATACCCTTTCTAGTGTAGTGGCATATTGAAAATATATTAATTTGAGAGATGATCTTTTATGGTAAAAATATTCATACGGCCAGTTTTCTGGTTTAGAAATACTATTAGTTTACTGAACTTTGGTAAAGCAATCTCATGTAAAAAATATTTTTTAGTTGCAAAGAGGTTTTAGCGGTGATTCTTCACAGAACAACATCCTATTATTTTTTAAAGTAGTAAATACAAAAAAAAGTAAGATGAAAACAATTACAACTTTCATATCCGGAGAACATTGGAAAACACCTTTAAAACGTAGCAGTAGCAAGCTGATTCGACGTAAAACAACTGTCCCTATAGCCGGAGAACTTTGGAAAACACCTTTAAAACGTAGCAGTAGCAAGCTGGTTCGACGTAAAACAACTGTCCCTATAGCCGGAGAACTTTGGAAAACACCTTTAAAACGTAGCAGTAGCAAGCTGATTCGACGTAAAACAACTGTCCCTATAGCCGGAGAACTTTGGAAAACACATTTAAAACGTAGCAGTAGCAAGCTGGTTCGACGTAAAACAACTGTCCCCATAGCCGGAGAACTTTGGAAAACACCTTTGAAATGTAGCAGTAGCAAGCTGGTTCGACGTAAAACAACTGTCCCCATAGCCGGAGAACTTTGGAAAACACCTTTAAAACGTAGCAATAACAACCTGGTTCGACGTAAAACAATTGTCCCCAAAGTTTTGTTTGTAGTTAAGCACAAAGCTACACAATGGGCTATCTGTGCTCTGCCCACCGCGGGTATCGATACCCGGTTTATAGCATTGTAAGTCCGCAGCCATGCCACTGAGGGACATCCCCAAGGTGTTTTCAGAAAAACAATCCTTTGTTTTTGAGCTTACGCAGAAAAATATCATTTGAAACATGTTAAAATCATGGTCTCTAGGAAAATTTACAGACATTACCATAACCAGTGTTTATTAACATTGAAAATCGGCCTTGCTTAGCTTAGGCTCTCGTTTAAAGACACTGTTAAATACACAAGTACTTAATCAATTAACATAAAGGTGTGAAAACTGATTATATACACAGTTGTTGTTAGAAACAGCTTTCAATAAACGGATAATTCTTATTTTTCACAAACACAATTGGAATAAACAGATTGCTTATTTGTTTGGGAAATTCGAGAAATCTTCAAAAGTGTTATATGTTAGCCATGGTAAACTAGAACAGTGTTTCTCAACCCATAGAAATAGATTTGTCAGAATGTGTGAAAATGTTATATGTTAGCCATGGTAAACTAGAACAGTGTTTCTCAACCCATAGAAATAGATCTGTCAGAATGTGTGAAAGTGTTATATGTTAGCCATGGTAAACTAGAACAGTGTTTCTCAACCCATAGAAATAGATCTGTCAGAATGTGTGAAAATGTTATATGTTAGCCATGGTAAACTAGAACAGTGTTTCTCAACCCATAGAAATAGATTTGTCAGAATGTGTGAAAATGTTATATGTTAGCCATGGTAAACTAGAACAGTGTTTCTCAACCTATAGAAATAGATTTGTCAGAATGTGTGAAAATGTTATATGTTAGCCATGGTAAACTAGAACAGTGTTTCTCAACCTATAGAAATAGATTTGTCAGAATGTGTGAAAATGTTATATGTTAGCCATGGTAAACTAGAACAGTGTTTCTCAACCCATAGAAATAGATTTGTCAGAATGTGTGAAAATGTTATATGTTA